CTTTGAGCAACCTGGTCTAGTGGAAGGTGTCCCTGCCCATGGCAGGGGGGGTGGAACTAGATGTTCTTTAAGGTCCATTCCAACCCAAACCATTCCATGATTCTATGATCAGCTGTAAGGAGCCTGGGGAGGTCCTATACACCATGCAGCACAACAGAGCAATGCAGACACGCAGGAGGACAACCCCAAATTCCCAACTAGCCGTACACTTCTTAGACATATCTCTGATCCCATTCCCCTCTCCCAGGGCTAATTTTTCAGATGCAGGCTTGGACAATAGCCACAGCAGCTCTCCTTAGCATGACTGCCAAGGCGAACTCTAAGACTTCCAACCATCCACTGCAATCCTTGCACTTGGGGGTGGCATCTCTAACCTGCTCTCCAAGGAAGAGAGCATCTGAGTTGCTATTTTAAGCATCAATACGCAGCTCAAAGCCATTTGTTCTCGACAGCCTTCAGCAACCAAGTTCAGAGCAAACAATATCGTGAGTGAGGATTTCCATCTCAGGTCTTACAGGTTTTACTTTAAAATCGCTATCCACAAAGGGAAAACTGTCTTACCTGTTTTCTTCATGAGACAGAATATCATCTATTTGAACATAGAGACCTTTTCTGAAGTTATTGGCCAGAATTTATCCTCAGATAATGGCCCAAACCAGGCCCCAAAGAGGATTTCTGGCTGCCCACGTAACAGCAGTTTCTCTTTTGCTCACTGTTCCTCATCTATTTCTCTAACAGGTCACAATGCTGTTCAATAATATGGTGAAAAAAACCAGCAGAGACTATTTACAAAAAACTGGTTTACACCTGAAGAACATGTTCCTGCTGCTCACCGCTCTGCGCTCGGTGGAAACCAGCACATGCAGCAGTGGGCAAACTCCCCACCCAAAAACTGCCCCTGGAACACCGACCAAAGTACACTTAAAACTGCAAAAAACAAGGTCAACTGGTGTCATCACCTGGTCCTGACACTTGTAGCTTTTACCTCCTTACAGGCTCTGGAAAAACACAAACGAGACAACATGTGCATTGTCCCCGTCTGATGAATTAAAGAACTGTGGTCTCCCACTGCTGTGAAAAATAACATGGCTGGGATGCGGGGGAGAGACCGAACAGCAGCTGCCCTTCTGTTCAAGTTCTGTATCGCATCTCTCAGAGAAGGGGATACATTTCCATAACTGTTAAAAAAGAAGAAAGCACCCACAGAGAACTCAACAGCAAACTTAACAGACTTGAGTAAACCAGAATTGCTTACAAACACTCATTTCATGTCTTAAAACTTGCTTCCAAATATTTGCTTAGTCATTAAGACATAAATCTTTAGCTACTCTCCCAAAAAAAGACTGCATATTCCTTATTTGAGCCAGGACACACTAATTCATCAACGTGCTTGGTTTTTAATAAAATTTACATTTAGAGATGAAAATGTTTCCTCAAACACATGTAAGATTTGCTGAAACTAACACTGCGTGAAAACCTATGTTTTTAAGTCAGGAGGGCACTGTCAGGTAGATCTGTTAGGAAGTTCAGAACCGAATCAAAGGTGCTACTTCTCGCACAAAGCCTACAATTAAACTTTCTTACGGTTCTTAAAGAAACCCGTGAAACCTTTTTGGCTGTAACATTCCAACTGCAGCATCTGACAGTAAAATATCGCATGTGGAGGAAGGAAATAAATAAAACTAATTATGGAAAACCACCACCTTCCTGGTGACTGTAAAGACGGAGTAAAGCAAAGAGCAAAACCAATGAAATACATCGATTTTAAGAAAACACCTCATATTTGATAAATGGTGTTCATTATTAACGGATAAGAGACTGACATCTAGGGCATAAAAGTAGGTCTAATTGTTCAAGGTGTAATGTAGAAGTTTATTAATGTATGTAACGATTCTTCTTTCACCTGTAAAAGAGGAGAGGGGAAACCGCAGCCATGTTAAAGGCTACACTGTGTATTGGAGGGAATGCA